TCCTTTTGTCCCCCTGGTGCTCCCCTGACCCTGGGCTGACTCAGCCCAGCCATGTGTACCGGGTGAGCACAATTTCACAATAAAATAATCGGTCACTTCTCAAAAAGGGGCACATTTACTCAGCCACTTGGAAGAAAAAAGGGAAACACAGACTATAATTCCTTTTATTTACAGTGAGAAATGAAGCATGAGCAAGATGATTAGAACTGTAATTAAACAAGAGAGTCAGACCCACAGATTGGCACAAGATGGAGAAGGAGGCTCTTGGAGAGAACAGCATCCTGAATCTTGAAGTATTTTTCCCACTGCAAGCCCCAGGGACACCTCTCCTTAATTTGCTGTCTAACAAGAAGCTCTGCCCAAAAGCCCCTCTGTTTACCTAGGAATGAAAGCTGGGCCTGAGGAAAAGGTCGAGCCAATTTTCTCACTGAAATATCCTGCACACAGAGATATGCAGAGATCCTGAAATCTGAGCTTCATTACAAAGGGGAAAAACAATTTCCTAAGGATGACGGGGGAAAGGCCCAGAGGAGATTCTGTCTGCAGCCAAGTAAAGCTGGAGTCTGGCTCCAATCCTGAATTCCACCCCTCTCTGGCACTTGCCAAACACCAGCTCAGCTCTGCAGATGCCATGAACATCCTACCACCATGTTGCATTCCAGTCCCATGGCTGCTGTCCTTCCTGGGTGATGCAGTTCTTGGCATGTTTTCCACAGCTCTCCGGAGCCCACATCCGAATTCCCTGGGATAGGTTTCGGTGTCCTGCTGGGAGGCAGATAATCCACCCTTTGTCACCAGGGATTGATGCCTCAGAACAACTCCATTGCATCAAAGAAAAGCACTTAGGAATAAATTTGCCACTGCTAACAAGCTTGACTGGGTCAGAGCTTTGTGTGCTGGAACAAAGAGATTAAGACTCTGGAACATGTTTGGATTGCAGAGGAAATTCCATTCAGTCTCGGGAATGCACTGGATCACTTGAGTTTGTAGATCAGGTCTTGCAGTGGAGGAAGATCAGACCTTACAGGGCTCTGCTCTAGAGCTGGTCCAACAAGATCTGGGGTTTTTTGAGGTGTCAGTGGCAGACAGAAGACACCAAATTCAGCACAGTGCCAAGGGGAAGACAGTAATTCCCAGCTCTGTCATTGGCTTATTCATCCATGCAGGGCTTAAATCCAACTGGGAGCCCAGTGTGCCATGGGAGCTGGTAAAGAAGAGTTCCAAGAGACAACTTTGGCATTGGCAGCGGGGTGAGGAGAGCAGCTCTGTCCTGGGGGATGCAGGGGGCTGGAGACTGACAGGCTGTGCTCTGCAGCAGTGACAGACACGCTGCACTGCCTGAGCTGCAGAGATTTGTCTGGAGCTGTAAACACATCTGCTCTGGCCTTGCTCAGCCCTCCCTCCTGCTCCCAGTCTGTCAATGCTCATGCCAGGGAGTTCTCAGGAAAGCTGTCTCGTTGGGAAAGGCAGACTGATGGCTGTTTGCTCAGGTTCAGAGCAAGGAGAATTTCTGTGAATGTGCCTTGGGATGCTCAGGAGGCTGTTCCCATTCAGGGGTGCAAACCACGTCCCTGAATTATTAGACTGTTAAAAACAAGAAGTGCCGCTCAAATTGCAAGACAATAAACGAGAAGATTCTTGTAGAATAATTTTGAAACTGAGAATCATCACAACCTGCTCCTGGCTGTTCACTGGAACAGAGAAGGAAGTTCCTTGTGTGGGCTGTTTGTTCAGACATCCAGTTCAGCCCCAAGAGGGACAGTGAAACTCTGTGTTCTTCACTTCCCTTCCTGGACTCTGCTGGAAGAGGACACAAGCATCAGGTGATTCCATCACACCCACTAAGATGACATTTTATCTTCTTTCCATTAAAGCCATCCAGCCACAGCAACTGTGAAGGGAAAAAAACCAACTCTACCAAACCTTTGCTTCCCTCACAGCCCCTTAGTGATTTTTCATCTCTGCAAGTGATGCTGTAATTAATGCCATCTCCTGCCTGGGAGCAGGGTGGGGGCCTGTCCCAGAGCCCCAGCACAGCGTGGGGAGCAGGTCATTAATCCAAGACGGAGCAACACAACCAGGGAGGCTAAAAATACCCAGGACACCTGATTGCTCCACCTGATTGTAGGGAATTGAGAGGAGGAGAGGGATGGGCCCTGCATGCTGAGTGCTCAGGCTGCTGCAATCACAGCCCCTGCCTGCTGGAAAACCTCTGGAAGGGAGAGCAGGGGCTGGGATTTGGTGTTACTGCAGCAGGATCAGCTCAGAGGCAGCACCTGTGGGACTCCTTTAGCAGCACAAGGGATGAGCTGATTGTGTTTGGTCCAGCAGATCCCTGGATATCCCATGGCACGGAAATCCAACCCCAGAACCACTGCACTGCCCCAGACTCGTGGCACTAACATCATCACTGCCCAGGGATGTCAGCAGGAAAAGGTGGAACAAACAGCAGAGATTAATTTCCATGAGCTACTTTCAAAACCTTCGGTTGCATAATTTCAGGTCTGTCAGCACAGGCTGTAATTATAATCCCAGAATCCCTGACTGGTTTGGGCTGGAAGAGACCTTAAAGCTCATCCAGCCCCTCCCTGGCAGGCACACCTTCCCTGGCCCAGCTTACACAGGGGTGTGCAATTCCTCACAAGGACCCTGACACCAGCTCAGGAGAGCAAAACTCACTTAAAAATCCCCTGGGGATAAGGAGAGTCCCAAGGGTTGAAGTCCACAGGAGCCCCTGCCCAGCTCTGCTTTTGTTCCTCTCAGCAGCCTCACATTCCCTGGACTAAGCTCCTTGTGTATTTCTCCTCTCTGGGAAGATACTTCACAATCTATTTGTTGCAGTCAAAATTCTAAAATACAGGCAGGATCTGTTCTCCCTCAGGCTCTTTTTGAGAAAGCTCTTTCTTGACTATCCCTCAAGTGAGGAAAACAAACTCCAAAGGCTGAATTCTTGCTGTGTTTCAGCTGCCCTTGGCACCCTCGGCACATTCCTTGGGCTCTCTGCTTCCCAAATTATAGCACCCAGTGTTTGGGCAGGTGCTGAGGGTGGAATTGTATCTAAACTCATCATCTCAGGGTATTTTTGGCAGCATTCTCTTGATGACACTTGTAGACAAGGCTCTGCAACAGCCCCTCTGCCACTCAGTGTGGGTGTCTGGTAATGCCCCCTCCCACCTTCTCGCAGTAAAAATAGCACAAGAAATTGTTCTTTTCTCAAACCTCTCCCCCCAGAATGTCATTTTCATCTGCATCACACAAGATTTTGCTGTTTTGTTGATAGGGATTTATTGTGCTAGATTTTATCTGCCTGTTAAACACTTCCTAAGTGGGGAGTGAGTAATAAAAATGAGATTACAGGAATTGCTTGGTGGGGAACAGACCAGACCTACAATTTAGCTTGCTTGTTCCTGTAAGCTGAGGAACTTCAAACTGATCTGCAAATTGCAAAATAAATTTAGAAAATCACTTTTCTAAATTTTCACAGCACAAAGCCTGTCCAGCATGAGGGTGAATGGCAGAATCAATGCCAATGTAGGGAACTCAGAGCAAGACCAAAAGAGTTACAGATTCCTGTAGTACAGGGGAAATTCTGGAATAAATGTGACTTCAAATGACACCAAAAAATGGGGATGCTGTGGGTGGTACTCAGCAGTTCAGTCAAGGATGGGACATTGCCTTGGTGGCCTTGGACAGGACATGTCCAGCATTGTGCCAGTCTTCCCTTCCCTTCCCTTCCCTTCCCTTCCCTTCCCTTCCCTTCCCTTCCCTTCCTTTCCCTTCCCTTCCCACTGGAGGAGAGGTGGAATTGCCCCTTTAAGTCCAATTCATCTCTGATCTGGGTGGGTTTTTATGCATTCAGCTTCCTCAGATGTACTCAAAATACATTTTCTAAGCTTCACACCGTGGCCTCATTCTCTGTTTATTTTCTTCTGACATCTTTGCCTCATCTCCTCAGGCTCCATAAATGCAGATTTCAGACAGAAGATGGGCACAACCCATCTGTGACTTGGGAGAAGCTCCCTGGAAGAAGTCAGCTCTCCTTATTCCCTGAGATTCCCACTCAAACTGATCCCTGTGGCACAAGTTTGGGGAGAAGCTGTGAGGGTGGCAGTGCCTGGCTGAGCAATGCAGCTGTTCCTTCAGCTCTTCTCATCTCCACGTCCTTATTTCTTCCCTCATTTTTTATTTTTGTCTTGTTTTTGCACTTTCCTTAGGGAAGAGGAGGAAGCTGCATTGCTATTCCACAGGTACATTTTGTGCAGTGCTGCAAAGTCCCCTAAGTGATGCCCACCCCGTTTATTATTAACTTTAAAAACCATGCTCATGCTTCTGCAAACCCCAGGAGAAGCTACCGGGGAAAAACGACTTTGGATCACGTGGAGCACAAACACAAAGCCTTAATTAACGAGCGCTGCCCCCACTAATTGCAGAGGAGGAGCCTGTGCTGCTCCGCACCGGGAATGACAGGGAATTACAGCCCGTGTGTCTCTTCTTCCCTTGATCTCAGGCTGTGTGGGTTTGTACGAGCAGTAGAAATTATAGAATATGGAATAACACCCATGGAAGGTGTCCCAGCCCGTAGCAGGGATTGGAACTGGATGAGTTTTGATGTCCCTTCCAACCCAAGCCAGTGTGGGATTCTGATTTTGCTGTAATTAAAAGCTGTCAATTCTCATGCTCGATACAAGATCACCAGTAATGAAAACCTGTAAATTTTCAGGCTCGCTACAAAATCTAACATTTAAAACCTGTACATTCTGAGGCTCCTGAAGGGATTTTTTTGGCTATTCAAGGTTTGGCTTGGAACAAATGCCTGGGAGCTGCTGCCCTTGGGGCTGTGGGACACCAGCACTCATTGCAGCAGTGAACAGCAATTCCAGCAGTTCCTTGGGCTGGGCACCCACGGGACACAGCATCGTGCTTGGAATTTAAAACACACGGCAAACAGGACGAACAGGTGTCACTAGCTGTGGGAAGTGTGACAAGTGCTAAAGTGACAAATGTGCCTCCAACCCCTTTCTCCAGGGGAGGATGCTGTCAGCCTGCTGCTCACCCAGACGGCACAGCTGATGGCCGCATGCTTTGAGGGGGGGGGGGGAAAGGTGTTTTTTCCTGAAATATTCCCTGAGAGCTTCGCGATCGCCGGTGCTGGGAGGGGTAAAGACACAGGGAGAGAGTGGGACTGCAGCAGGATGGAGAGGAGGATGAGGGGGCTCCCGGGGGCTCTGGGCACAGCCCGGGAGTTCCAGGCACATCCCGAGGGTTCCGGGCACATCCCGGGAGTTCCAGGCATATCGTGGGGACTCTGGGCACATCCCGGGAGTTCCAGGCACATCCCGAGGGCTCCGGGCACATCCCGGGAGTTCCGGGCACATCCCGAGGGCTCCGGGCACATCCCGGAGTTCCAGGCACATCCCGAGGGCTCCGGGCACATCCCGGGAGTTCCAGGCATATCGTGGGGACTCTGGGCACAGATCGGGAGTTCCAGGCACATCCCGGGAGTTCCGGGCACATCCCGAGGGCTCCGGGCACATCCCGGGAGTTCCGGGCACATCCCGAGGGCTCCGGGCACATCCCGAGGGCTCCGGGCACATCCCGGGAGTTCCGGGCACATCCCGAGGGCTCCGGGCACATCCCGGGAGCTCCGGGCACATCCCGAGGGCTCCGGGCACATCCCGGGAGTTCCGGGCACATCCCGAGGGCTCCGGGCACATCCCGGGAGCTCCGGGCACATCCCGGGAGTTCCAGGCACATCCCGGGAGTTCCGGGCACATCCCGAGGGCTCCGGGCACATCCCGAGGGCTCCGGGCACATCCCGGGAGTTCCAGGCACATCCCGAGGGCTCCGGGCACATCCCGGGAGTTCCGGGCACATCCCGAGGGCTCCGGGCACATCCCGAGAGCTCCGGGCACATCCCGGGAGTTCCGGGCACATCCCGGGAGCTCCGGCCGCACCCCGAGGTCCCGGGGCAGCAGGTCGGGGCGCACCCCGTGCTCTCCGGGTGCATCCCGTACTCTCCGAGCCCGTTTCCCGCTCTCCGGGCGCTGCCCTCAGCGCTGCCCTCAGCCGAGATGGCGGCGCTGGCGCGCGGCTCTCGCGAGGCGGGCGGGGCGGGGCGGGGCGGGGCGCGCGCGCCCTGATGGCGGCGGGGCGGCCCCTGACGGTGGGGCGGCCCCTGACGGCGGGGCCGGGCGGCCATGGAGCACATCAGCACCCCCAAGGTAACCCCGCCGCCCGCGGCCCCGGCCCCGGCCCGCTCCCCGCCGTCGTTCCCCCCGCTGTCCTCACTCCCCCGCCACGGAACGGCCCTCGCGGCTGCGGGTGGGGGGTCACAGCCGCGGTCCCCCGGTGCTGGCGGCTCCGGCGCTCTGTGGGGAGGGGGTTGCAGTGCTGGGCAGAGCCCCGCTTTGGTTGCAGTGGTTTGGGGGCGATTCCGGAATGTTTCCTTTCTGTCAAAGCGCGGAGGTTCCTCTCAGTCCCAAGGAAGGAACCAAAGGGTGCTTTTTTTTTTTTTTTTCCCCCGTTGAATTAAGTCAAACAAGAGCTACGGGAATGCTGTGCTAAAAGGAATTGCATTTATTCAGGCAGCAATAATTTCATTTTCTCCTTCACTGCAATGAAGGTTATTGTTACTCGTTTTATTCTGTAGAACATTAGTTTGGGGATGCTCCTCACCCCCTGCTCTGAGGTGCTCCGCTGGTGCTGCATGTCTGTAGTGCCCTGAAAAGGGCAATATTGTATTTGATAGTTATATCTGCTGAAAATCAAACCTGCTAAAAGGACACCGAGCCCAGGCCTCAGCTCTCCAATTTATCTGCTGAGATTGTTCCATTTGCACTTGAGACATATGGAAGCTCGCACATTCAATACCCAGAACTGATCTATCATTTACTGCTAAAACATTTGTTTTCATTGTCCATCCAATTATTTTTTCCTATTATTTCTGCTTAATGGCGAAAGAAGAATTCCATCTGCGTTCATTAGGCGGCAAATAGGCCAGGAGAAAATCAATCCGGTGCTGTAACATATTTTATTATGTCTGTGCTCAGTTCTTTAAAGATGTTTTTTATTAATTAGCTTGGTGTGGTTTATGAAATACACTTGGAAGCCAGGAAGTGAGTTACAAGAAGTAGCTACTAACAGGGAATGAGCAGTGGGAAGTCAGACTGGAGAGGGCTGTTCCTTTCAGAGCAACATGTTGATCACCCTGAGCACAGGCAAGGCTTTCCTCTGCAGTTCTTTGTCTTGTTATTTCTGCAGCTTCACACAGTAACAAACTGGGATCATCTTGGCTACAAATCCAGTAATCCTGTTAGGGTTTGCTGGTGCTGAACCACGGCTGTTTGCTTAACCTTTATGGCTTTAATTCATGGAGAAATAAGTTGAGTTTATGGTGCAAGGCTGGCTTGGTGCTGCAGGGGGGACTTAAGACCTTGTGTTTTTCTGTCTTGCTTCATGAGCTGTGTGTTAGAAGTTGAAAGAATGGAGCTCAACATGTATTTAGGCAGTGCTTCCATCAGAGCTGGAGGAATTTCTCCTTGGAAGGGGCTGCCAGAGAGGTTTGGAGTCCCCATCCCTGGGGTGTCCAAGGAACAACTGGATGTGTGCTGGGTGACAAGGTGGGAATTAGGCACAGGCTGGACTCCATGATCCCAGAGGGCTTTTCCAGCCTCAGCAATGCTGGGATTCTGTGGTGCTCTCATGCTGTGTTCCTGCTGCAGGTGGAAAACGTGAAGCTGCTGGATCGCTACGCCAGCAGGAAGGCAGCGAGCGGGACCCTGTACCTGACAGCCACACACCTCATCTACGTGGATGCCTCTGCTGAAGTCAGGAAGGAAACATGGGTATGCTGGGCTGCAAACACACCTGGGAAAGCTGCTTCAGGTCACAGGATGGATTGGTGGGGAGAGAATTGAAGGATTGTCCCATTCCACCCCTGCAGGGACACCCTCCACTGTCCCAGGGCTCCCAGCCCCACTGTCCAGCCTGGTCTTGGGCACTGCCAGGGATCCAGGGGCAGTCCCAGCTGCTCTGGGCACCTCCCCACCCTGCCAGGGAACAATTCCTAATTCCCAATATCTCATCTATCCCTGCCCTCTGGCAGTGGGAAGCCATTCCCCCTTGTCCTGGAACTTAATGCTCTCATTTCCAGAAGGAGCAGATTTGGGAATTCCAGAGCCATAGTGGTCTTTTAGAGCATTTTGATCCCAAATGCTTCCCAGAAACAGCTGGTTTGGAAGGAAATGAGCACAATGGTGACGTGACTTGATAGAGTTCACTTATGAAATTAGTGTCAGTTCAAGGAATGTAAAAAACTTCTGTAATTTCCTATTTAAAACTCAATATACAAGACCACTAGACGTGAATTTGCAACTTTTAGAAGTACAGATTTAGCCTGAAATGAGCCTGTTTTGTTAATTCTAAAGTGAAATGGGAATGACAGAATGTGTTTCATGTGGAGGTGAAAGCAAAGCAAAGTGCATCAGGTAACCTGAGCTGCACATCTGTCTCTGAAAGCAATTTATGTAAATCTGTGTTTTTTCAGTCCTGCTTTAGTTCCCTGGGTTTTGGGTGCACTTTATGTTTGATGTCACAAACTCATTTCCTGCTGCTCCTTAGCTGCAGGAAGCACCAACAGCTGATTGTATTACAGAGGTTTCCTATCTGCTTGCACTGCTCACAGCTTTATCAGTGACAAATGATGTTTATTCCCTTTTCTCCAGATCCTGCACCACCACATCTCCAGCGTGGAGAAGCTGCCCCTGACCACAGCTGGGTACCCCCTGCTCATCCACTGCAAGAACTTCCACGTGGCTCACTTTGTGATTGGGCAGGAGAGGGACTGCCACGAGGTGTTCACCTCCCTGCTCAAGCTCTCCCAGCCAGGTGCTGCCATTGGGAATGTGTCCTGGGAATCTCTGGAATGCTCCAAGCTGAGCCCTGGGAAAGCTCTGCTGGGTTTGGGAGGGAGGAGTGGGGTCACAGTCAGCATCCAGCAGCAGGGACAATGGCAGGGCTCAGGGAGCTGAGCTCTGTGGAGCAGGACATTGCTTCCAAACTAAACACAGTCTTGGGAGCCAAGGAGGATGGAGAGAGCTTGTTCACAGGAGCCTGGGGTGACAGGACAAGAGGGGATGGATTCACACTGACAGAGCAGGGTTAGGTGGGAAATTGGGAAGGAATCCTTCCCTGTGGGGGTGGCCAGGCCCTGGCACAGGTGCCCAGAGCAGCTGGGGCTGCCCCTGGATCCCTGCAAGTTCCAAGGCCAGGCTGGACATTGGGGCTTGGAGCAGCCTGGGACAGTGGGAGGTGTCCCTGCAGGGGTGGCACTGGATGAGCTGTTGCAACCCAAACCTCTCTGTGATTTTGTCACTGTCTGGCAGTGGGAGTGACATAGTCTCCCATGAGGAACTTCTGGAGAGCTGTGCAAAGTTCATATCCCAGACCTGGCCACTGCCAGCCCCTTGTATCACCCAGCTGTTGGCTGTGTGCAGTTCTGCCCTTTCCAGCTGCTCCAGGCATTCACAGAATTCCCCAATCCCACAGTTTGGCATCTTGGCTGTGTTTCCAGCAGTGTGGTTAGGCTGCTCTGCAGTGTTTGCTCAGTGAATCCTGTGCTTCACCCTGCCCTGACTTGGAGTCACTCTTGCAGTGTGAGCCAGACACCCTCAAAAGCCTGTGCTCTCTTCTAGCTCCAGCTTTTTATTCCAGCATGGATGAATCTTCAGGCTTTTCTTGCAGGACAGCATTCCACTGGGCTCCTACCTGGCTTCTGCCTCTGGCAGCCTCTGCTTTTGGGATGCTGGAACCCATTTTGGAGTTGTCTTATTACAAGGATGTCATTTGTAGTTGCAATTTGTGATGGTGTCACCAGGCTGAGGGAGGGGAACTAATGGCACCAGGCAGCTTCTTGCTGGCCTTCACACAGGGCTGGGCTGGAAATGCTGTAGGAGAAATGGGCTTTGCCCAGTTTAGATGTTTTTTAATTTGATATTAAGGCCTGTGTCTACTCCTAGAACCCTCTTGTGCTCTTTGGAGTTTTTTTAGTTCTGAGGTTCTGCCTCTGATGCTGTAGCTGGCAGGTTTGTGGTGTTATATTTAAAAGCTGTCACTGGTTTTTGAGGTTTGAAAATTGGATGTCTGGGTAGTGCCTGAAGCGTGGGAGCTGGCACTGCAGGGGCTCACACCAGTTTCCTTTGGTCTCAACTGTGTAAATGCTGTAGCTCTTTCTTTTCTCCTGGTTTGTAACAGCACATTTTTGTTGTTTGAAGATGTCTGGGTGTGCTCCCTTCATGGATTTCTGGCAGAGCACGTCATTGCTGCTTATTTGCACACATGTGATGGACAGCTCTGGGTTACCTGCTCGGTACCCAGCTGCTTTATCAGCCTCTGACAGGTTTCCCTCTGTCTCTGGAGCTGCCTTGGGAATCAGCTGGATGAATTATTGGTTGGATTTGCACTTTGTGAAGAGAGGGAAGGAGGTTGGGATGGTAAACGGGCACTTGTCAGAGGCAGCCTGAAGCCTTTGTTGGGCTGACAGCAATACTCCAGACATCCCTCATGTCTTCCAGTCTCAGAATTTGTTACTCAGCAATGACCTTACAGGTGTGCAGGAGCTGTTGTATGAACCCTCCACAGAAAACAGATCTTTTAATCCATGTTTTAATGGTGATGATATAAATCCCATCTAACATGCTTACTACAGTGAATTCAGGAGGAAATCATTGGTTTAGGAAAAATTGTATCTACCAACTTGGGTTAAAACACTTTGTTAGAATTAATGTACCTCCCTGCATTTGGAAACTGAGTACTGGAAATTCCTGAGGATTTCAGGATGAATTTCAGCACTTGGTACTATCCCAAACCAAAAATCTATAAAAGTTGAGATGTCTTAAATACCTTGAGTGCTAAAGAGGAGCATTCAATCATTGATTTCCAGAAGTTTTGGCCTCCATGGGTGTCTTTGCATCTCTAACTTGTTGATTTTTTTCTTTCTCCTCCCCAGTGAAACCTGAAGAACTTTATGCTTTCTCTTACAACCCTAAAATGTCCAAAGAGAGCCGGGAGATGGGCTGGAAGCTGATTGATCTGAAACTGGATTACCAGCGCATGGGGATCCCCAACGACTCCTGGGAGATAACAGATATTAACAAGGACTATGAGGTAATTCCTGCCCAGAGCAGCCATCCCCTGCACCATCTCCTTGCTGTTATTGATGGCAGCCCTGCTGCTGCCTCTGGGGAGGAAGGAGCTCGCTTGGTCTGAGTCAAAGCAATCATCTTGATGGGGAGTTGCAGATGGTGATGCTCCAGGAGAGTCACCTTGTTGTGTTTGATCCCCCTGGCAAGGGAGCAGAGCTTTGTTTTTCTGCAGAAATGTCAACCCATCTGTTAGGCAAAGCCTCAAGTACCCTGAGCTGCTTTTGGTATTTCCAAAGCCTGTCCCACCTGGCTGGTGACAGATGTGGAGGAGAGAAGGAAATGGCAGCAGTTTGGATTGGTGGGAAATGAGGCAGAGTAGAGAGGGACTAGGGAAGGGAGGAAGGGAAAAACAGCAGTGGAAAACAGAGCCTTTTTTGCTTTCTCAGTTGGATCTTCTCCTACCTAAGGGCTCTCTGTCATTTCAGTCTGAGCTGCCTGCTGCTGTTATTTTCCCTGAAAGGCCAACTTGGATCTAAACAACATGAAACAAAAGCATTTGTCAGCAAGCTTGTTCAAAATCCTGCTCCACATTATTTCCCTTTTTATTTCCTCTGGGGCTGTGTGCAGTCAGACCTGGCTGTTGAAAAGCAAGGCAAGCAACTTCAAGGAAGACACCAAGATATTTGTAACCCTGAATCTCTTTCCCTGGTAACTTTCTTTACTTTAAGCTCTGGATTGAAGAAATACAAGCCTGTGCTGTCAGAGGTGGCTGCCAGTTTTACCTGCCTGTGCCTGGGGGGGCACTGAATTGAGCTCTGATGTGAGAGGTGCTGTTTCCAGTAGCTGCTGTGGCCTCTCAAATCAGTAATCACTCAGAGGCTTTGCTTGCTGCAGTGCAACTCTCAGGTGCTTTAGAGTTTCCTCATGGTTTGCAGCCTGTTTTAGAGTTGTCAAGCCTGATGTAAAGCCAGGCTTGGAGAGCAGCTTATCTTTGAAGTCCAAGCTGCACAGACTGTGCTTGTTTGAGGAGAAAGGATGAAGCTGCTCTCTGAGGATTCCACCTGAGTGCTGGAAGTGATTTCCAAGTTGCATAACATTTAGAGAGAACTTTTAAAATAGAGTTAATTACTCTTTTGTGGAAAGGAGTTCTTGGCTGTGAGGGTGGGCAAACTCTGCAATAGAATTCCCAGAGCAGCTGGGGCTGCCCCTGGATCTTTGGCAGTGCCCAAGGCCAGGCTGGACAGGACTTTGGAGCACCCTGGGATAGTGGAATGTGTCCCTACCCATTGCAGGGGGTGGGATGGTTTTAATGTCCCTTCTGTAACTCTAATTTAGAAACTTCCATGACATTTCTGCATTTAAGGAACTTCTTTGAAGCTGCTTTGTGCAGTCCAGTTTTTAGGTTCAGCTGCAGAGTTGACTGTTTCCTGCATTCTTTTCCTGAACACCTCGTAACCTAATAAGCTAAAGATGAATTTTTCATGAATTTTGAAGTGCTCAGGAGCAATATCTTTTTTTTTTGCTCTGTTCTCCCTCAGGTTTGCAGCACATACCCTCCTGAGATCGTGGTGCCTCGAGCTGCCACCAAGGCCGTGGTGATGGGAAGTTCAAGGTTCAGGAGCCGAGGGCGGATTCCGGTGCTTTCTTACTTGTACAAGGAAAACAATGTTAGTGCTTCACTGCCTGCTGCCTGGGGGAGTGAGGGCTCTCCTTTTTGTCCAGTTCCCTTCTAATGGAAGGAAAGAATAAGATAATTATTAGACTTGAGGCCTTTGAGAACTGTGCTTCTCTTAATGGCTTTCATTCTGAGTCACAGAATGAGCTGAAGGCAAACACTTGGAATGCACCCAGAGCCCTGCCAAAAGCACAGACTTTCCAAGCTTCCTGTTGGGAATTTTTTCTTAATCAGCTTTCAGCAATTCCTTCTGATGTGGGGTTTTTTAATCTCCTCTTTAGCTATATTGAATAATGTTTTACCAAGTTATATGTTGACTTGGCTGGATTTTCTTGGTATTGAGGAGGAGGAACCACCCTGAAATAAATCCCCACTAGTCCAGAATAAGTGAAGGTTTCATTTTTTTTTTTCCACTGAAGACCAGAATGTAAATTTGTAACTTTGCTGCCTCAGCAGTGTTTTAGATGCTGATCTTAGGAAAATTCAGTCACAGCCAAATTGTTGTTTTCCTCAGGAAGCGTGCCTTGACCTGGGCACTGCCTGGAGTTGTGCTGGAAACTAATGAAATTTCCTTAAAATACACCCTGTGCTGCTCTGAATGTCCAACAGCAACTGAGAACAAAAACTTAAAAGAATGGTTTGGAATAGAAACCAAATGGAAAACACGAGAAATTGCTCCCTTCCAGTACTTTCTGGAGGCTCATGAAAAGGACAGAGAGGGACTTTTATATGGGAACATAGTGACAGAGCAAGTGGGAATGGTTTTAAACTGCCAGAGGGCAGGGATGGATGGGATATTGGGAATTAGGAATTGTTTCCTGGGAGGGTGGGCAGGCCCTGGCACAGGTGCCCAGAGCAGCTGGGGCTGCCCCTGGATCCCTGGCAGTGCCCAAGGCCAGGCTGGAGCACCTGGTGATAGTGGAAGGGGTCCCTGCCCATGGCAGGGGGCAGAATGAGATAGTTTGAAGGTCCTTTCCACCCAGCTATTCTGGGATGCCATGAACTGCTGACATTTGGGGTGGTGACCATCAGGCAGAGCAGGTGGAGCCTCCTCACTACTGCAAGTTCCCCAAAGTTGTCACTTGTGAAACCTCCCAGTGTGTGTCCACTGCAGCAGCAGCTGCTCAGAAGGAGCACAGGGGCGAGTTAAACTGTGACTATGAGGGGTGTGGGGCAGGAGGAGAGGCTGAAGCTGTGAGCCCAAGGGCAGGAGGAGAGGCTGAAGCTGTGAGCCCAGGGACAGGAGCAGAGGCTGAAGCTGTGAACCTGGGGACAGGAGGAGAGGCTGAAGCTGTGAGCCCAAGGGCAGGAGGAGAGGCTGAAGCTGTGAGCCCAAGGGCAGGAGGAGAGGCTGAAGCTGAGCCCAGGGACAGGAGGAGAGGCTGAAGCTGAGCCCAAGGGCAGGAGGAGAGGCTGAAGCTGTGAGCCCAGGGGATCTGGGACAGGAACAGAGGCTGAAGCTGTGAGCCCAAGGGCAGGAACAGAGGCTGAAGCTGTGAGCCCAAGGGCAGGAACAGAGGCTGAAGCTGTGAGCCCAGGGGATCTGGGACAGGAACAGAGGCTGAAGCTGTGAGCCCAAGGGCAGGAACAGAGGCTGAAGCTGTGAGCCCAGGGGATCTGGGACAGGAACAGAGGCTGAAGCTGTGAGCCCAAGGGCAGGAACAGAGGCTGAAGCTGTGAGCCCAAGGGCAGGAACAGAGGCTGAAGCTGAGCCCAGGGGCTCTGGGGCAGGAGGAGAGGCTGAAGCTGAGCCCAGGGGCTCTGGGGCAGGAACAGAGACTGAAGTGAGCCCAGGGGCTCTGGGGCAGGGCACTGGCAGCAGGCTCACCCTGTGTCTGTGTGTCTGTCTGTGTGTCTGTGTGTGTTGCAGGCCGCCCTGTGCCGCTGCAGCCAGCCCCTGGCCGGGTTCAGCGCGCGCTGCCTGGAGGATGAGCAGATGCTCCAGGCCATCCGAGAGGCCAACCCCGGCTGCCCCTTCATGTATGTTGTAGACACGAGGCCAAAGGTACCTCCATGGGCTCTGGGCTGCTTTTACATCTCTTGTGAATGTGCAGTGCTGTTTCCAGTTCATTCTGTCACAATCCTGGGTCGGTCAGTCCTGCACAGGAATGTGGGACTGGGCTCCTGGTCCAGGGTCTACAGATGGAATGTGAAGTTGATCCTGAGGGTTTTTGCCTCCTGGGTTTGAGGTTTCACAAGGTCTCTTGTGTTGAGATGACCCCAAGGTGTTGGAAAGTCTCTTTTTTCCCAGCCCTGAGAACAAAGAAGAAGACAGGGTTCCTGGGCTCTCATTCTCAATGCTGTTTATTTTCTCTTATCTAATACATTGTCTTTCTGACCCTCTGAGGTCTGTCAAGCAGGTTGGGTTGAGGGACCCTGACTGCCCTTGGGGTGGTGTTATTTTTTTGTACTAAAAGCTCTGTGTACTTTATTTACAATAATTTTCCAATACCTATCCCCTATGTTAGACAGTCTGTCCCTGCTCTAAACCAGTCCAAAAGTGCCACCATCACAGCAGAAGATAGAGGCTAAGAAGAAGAAGGAGAAAGACAGGACAGGCCCAGATTCCTCCATCTTGCCTCCTGAACCCCCATTCTAAAAACCCCAAAATTCTACTTTTTCTCCCTGTGACAAATTCACTAACATTCTACTCAAACTTTTGTGGCTTGTAAAGCTTCATACAAAGTTGGTAATTGTTTCCATGGGCTAAAATCGAAGGCACAGGTGTTTGTGACTCTGTGCCAAGGTCTCTGAGCCCCTGCCAGGGTCTGGAGTCCCCCAGGGCAGCCAGAGCAATGTCCTGGGTCCTGACAGAGGTTTGTGTTCAGGATGACCTGATGGAACCTGATGGTCCCTGGCTGGGACAGTGAAGCTTTTTCCTGCAGAGTCCTAAAGGATAAAGGAGAGAACTGGAAGTGGAGTTGGAGAGAAGCCTCAGGATTCGGTTCCACAAGGCTGAAGTGCTTCTACTGGCAGATTTGGGAGGAAGTGCAGCTGTGAAAAGCAATCCCTCCCCCTTTTTTTTTCCTTTTAAAAATAAGACTCATGATGGAGCTTAATACAACTCAGCCCCACTATTTGGAGCTGGAACTTGAGAGCTGAGGGTTTATTTGAAAGGAACTATTTGCAAAACGCAAATTTTAATGACTGTCATCTTGAGAAACTGAGTTTAGAAACCAATTCCAATGATTCTCCTGTAAACATAGGGATTAGAAGTGTTGTTAGAAGCCAGTTAGAACACAAGGGTTTTCATAGCTCACAATTATTTAAATGCAAAGATTTAAATTGCTCTGATTATTTGAAAATGGAGCTTTCTGAGAACCTGCTCCACTGCTCAGATCTTGCAGTTATTTTATATAAACTACAAGATTAATTAAACTGTGGCAAGGGCAAGAAAAAAAGTGTGTTTTTGGGGAAAACAGGGAGTGTTTCCCATCTCGCTCCAGTGGGTGTTTTGGCTTTTAGTGTGACATTCCCTGGAGATCCCTGTTCTGCAGTGCTAGGTGCATTTCTCCTGGGACAGACAGCTGCCAGTGGCAGAGATGTGCCACTGAAATCCATAGCTGGTGGCAATTTGTGCTAAAGCATTTGGTGACAAGGGGAGAATTTATAATTGGTGACACTTCTTGTAAGCCAACCTGTCCCATTCTGGCAGAACTGAGGCACTGGGGTTATTTCACAGTTCTAAAGGTGTCTGCACCATCTCTGACTCTTCTCTCCCAAGAGCTGCCCAAATTGATAAGGGGGGGTTGAGCTGCTGTGTTTTCTGTCTGCACCAGAGATGTCCTGGTAGCTCTTGAACTGGTTTGGGCAAGGTTAAAGCAACTGATTTCTTTTCTGCTTCTGTCTTGCAGTTGCTCTGTTCTTTCTGCTCAACTTCACTGTTTCTGAGTTTCCCTCAGGTGGTTTAATTTTCTCTGTGCATGTATGTCTGTGAAAATTCCCTTCCTATTTCTACTATCATGTATGTAAAAATGTTAAAAATGGCTTTCCTAGTTCTGCTTTCCTGTGGCTGTCTCTGAATTTCCTTAGGTAAACTCAGTTAGGTCTCTGCTAGCAGAAACTGGGGGTTTATACTACCCTAAGCAGGATTTTAATGAGCCTCTGACTAATGAACTGCAGTAATTTTAATGAAACAGCTGAAAGAACTGTCTGGGAGGTGGGGAAGTACAGCTGAGGAACAGCTTTGTCCAGTACATTTTCTGGGAGATTTAAACAAAAGAAAAAAGGACTTGCAAAACAGCCTCTCTGAATTTTGTTGTGATTTTTGCCTTTCTTTTCTCTTCTCCTTGAATTTGCCAGTTGAATGCCATGGCCAACAGAGCTGCTGGGAAGGGCTATGAGAATGAAGATAATTATGAAAACATTCGTTTTAAATTCATTGGCATAGAGAACATCCATGTGATGAGGAGCAGCCTGCAGAAACTGCTGGAAGGTGGGTACAGCCCTGGAAGGGTTTGTCTTTCCTACCCCTCTGGACAGAACTTCCTGCCAAACATCCAAATATTCTGTGCACAAATGTGTTCTGATGGAAGCAAAGTCAGCATCTTGCTTTGTTTGCTGCATTCAGGTGACTGAGAGTATTAATGCTGATAAAATGCTTTCCTGCTTGACATGTTCTTTGTTCTTGTGCTTGGTTTTAAAGTGGTTCAAAAATAGCAACTAATACTAAAAGCATTCCTTGATGAATGTGCTAAATGAATAGAAAAAGGTTAGAGAAATATTACATTTTACAGCTAAGACAGTCTCATTGTTGCTTCCTGACTTATTGAAGGAAAACCAACAGAGGTTGTTCAGAAATGCTTTTTGGGGTTTGCTGTATTTGGATTATTAACAGTATTTCTGAGTTGGAATGCATGCTCTTCCAAAGTCTTGAGTCTCATACATACTTGGTTCTAACTTTTCATTTACTTCTGATTCCTTTTAACCAAACTCCTCCACAATGTATTAAATGAATGTTTTAATATATAAATATATGAAAATGCAGAGTAATTAAGCTCATTGTGATCATAGGGAGGAGTGCAAAGCAGGGCAAAAGAGTCACCTGAGATTGGGGATCCAGAGGGTAATGAGACCCAGAGTTTCATCAATAGAATTTTGGACAATTGTGCAATTCAAGTGCTGTCCTCCAAAATAGGAGTTTAATATTTTAGTAAGCACCATAATGCTCATCTGTTTTCCAAAGTAGTTGGGTAATTGGTGCTCCCAGGTGGCCCTGCAGGATCCATGGTGACCTTGGACACAAATGGGGCTGTTCCCACCCAAAAGAGTGGCCTGATCACAGCTCTGAGTCCTCAGTTGCCTCTTCCTGACAGATTTATTTTGTGGTGGGAGAAAAGGCAGAATAAAAACTTGTTTGCTCCCATGTTCTTCTCCAGCAGTGATAAAATCTCATTCACTGGGGCTTGTGGAGTGTTCTGAACTTTATTACTCTAAGTGTTTTCTGTGCTGGGTTTCATTAGAGCAGCTGAGTTGCCTTCAAGGTTAGATTTGTTATTTCTGCCTCTAAATTAGAGAGAAATAACTTCAAATCTTTGAGAAGTCAGTGAGTGATGGTAGATGTGATGGTGATTTAGAGTGAAGCAACAGCTCTTTACTGGAAAAACCACAGCTGAATAAATAATGAGTTACCCTTTAAACAAAGAGCAGGAGGAGATTTCCAGAGCCTCAAATTCTCACAAAACCAGCGATTTTTTAGTTACAAATTCTAGATACAAAACCATTAGTGTGTCCTTTAGACAGGCTATTGCTGCAAGCTCTTTAAATTTTCAGGGGGATAATGAGGAGGTGCAGGGGTGCTGTTCTGACTCTGTGTGTGCTCCCAGTGTGTGAGATGAAGTCCCCCTCCATGAGCGATTTCCTGACGGGGCTGGAGAACTCGGGCTGGTTACGGCACATCAAGGCTGTCATGGATGCAGGTGTCTTCCTGGCCAAGGTAAAGCTGCTCTCCAGCTGCAGTCCAGAGTGCCTCCTGCTCTGTTGGAGACTGCTGCTGGGGTGGGAAGGTGGCTCTGAGGAGGAGGTGTTGTTCACATTGGTTTAATCTCTCCAAAGATGTTGGGTCGTGTTGTGCAGCTGCTGGGCCAATACAGGTCCTGTGTCATGTATTGTACCAGGGCTTTTTTAGAGCTCATGTGAAACAGAAGATCACAAAATGTGAATAAATGACCTTTATAAACCTTTCTATATAGCAGTGCAAACAACTCCTAACCCTGTGCTCGTTATTCACCCACTGCTCTGCTTGAATTGAAGGATTGTTTTCACTGGTTTATTTTCTCCTGGTTTGATGTGATGTGGACACTGATTTTGATTATTCAACACAGTCCTCACTTCTGCAGAGCTGTGGCTTTGCAGGTCGGGCAGAAGGAAGGAAGGAAGTCACTCAGGAGTGGTACAGGGTGTGCAGGAAGTGTGTGGTCAGAGGAGTGAGTGTTAAAGGTTGGTTGTCTCTCACAATTTGCCCACATCACGAGCAAGAAACTTTTGTTTCTCTCCTGCCCTAAGTGGCAGAAGGTGATGGGATAGGGGGAAGCTGGCATCAACTCCTCTAATTTATCTTGAAGTTCTGATCCCTGGGTGTCCAACTGTTTTTTACTCATCCACCAAATTTTTTCCTCAGAGGAAGAGCCTGGGAATCCTTGGCCTTCCAGAGATCACAGGGGCTGTTTTTTACCAGCCTGCTGCAGCACTTTGCTCTAGCTGGGGCTTCTCTTGATGGACTGGTGCATTTCCACAGGCCACAGGAGAGATGGCCCCCATTCCCCCAGGGTTTTGGGGTGCTGCAGGTGGGGGACAACCTTTCCCTGAGCCCTGTGCTGTGTCCCTGGCAGCATCTCTCACAATTTGCCCACCTCACGAGCAAGAAACGTTTGTTTCTCTCCTGCCCTAAGTGGCAGAAGGTGATGGGATAAGGGGAAGCTGGCATCAACTCCTCTAATTTATCTTGAAGTTCTGATCCCTGGGTGTCCAACTGTTTTTTCCTCAGAGGAAGAGCCTGGGAATCCTTGGCCTTCCAGAGATCACAGGGTGTGACCGTGTTCACAGGGGTCTGAGGATGAGGGAAGAGATGAGGATCTGACTCCATGTTTCAGAAGGCTGATTTATTATTTTATGATATATATTATATTAAAACTATACTAAAAGAACAGAAGAAAGGATTTCATCAGAAGGCTGGCTAAGAATAGAATAGGAATGATAACAAAGGCTTGTGACTGACTGAGACAGTCCAAGCCAGCTGGACTGTGATTGGCCATTAATTAGAAACAAGCACATGAGCCCAATCCCAGATGCACCTGTTGCATCCCACAGCAGCAGATAACCATTGGTTACATTTTGTTCCTGAGGCCTCTCAGCTTCTCAGGAGGAAAAATCCAAAGGAAAGGCTTTTTCATTAAAGATGTCTGTGACAACAGGGGCTGTTTTTCAGCAGCCTGCTGCAGCACTTTGCTCTAGCTGGGGCTTCTCTTGATGGACTGGTGTGTTTCCACAGGCCACAGGAGAGATGGCCCAGGGTTTTGGGGTGCTGCAGGTGGGGGACAGCCTTTCCCTGAGCCCTGTGCTGTGTCCTGCAGGCTGTGAGGGAGGAGAGGGCCAGCGTGCTGGTGCACTGCTCCGACGGCTGGGACCGCACAGCCCAGGTCTGCTCCCTGGCCAGCCTCCTCCTGGACCCCTTCTACAGGACCTTCAAAGGCTTCATGGTAAGGACATGCTGCACTTCCAGTGCCAGCAGGCCCTGGGGAAGGGCTCAGGCCATTTCCTGGGACAAGTATGGGTGACCTACATAAAGCAGCTTTGGTTCTGTAACGAGCTGGAATTGCTGTGAGCAGCACAGCAGCTGCTGATTGACAATTCTCAAATCCTTGTTTCCTGCAATGTCTACATGGGAGCCACTAATGAGACATCTCAGCAAAGGATGCAGCTCTGGCAACAATCCACCAAAAAGTGCTGGAAGAGTTTGTCCTGCAGGTCTCTTATCTGCTGGGATTTGAAATTGGGTGAACTCAGCCCTGTTCCCTGTCCATCAGTCAAATCTGCATCATTTCACACCTTTTTTAAAGCCATTTCATTTTCATTTGGCTGTTGCTTCTAGTGTAGGCTTTTTCTTAATTTGCAGCCACCCCTGCATGAATTCAGGGCAGTTTGTGATGTTTCTTTCCATTCATCTCTGGTTACATACCTCAAGAGCTGCTCTGTCTCAGGAGAGCTCCTTGAAGGATTCCCTGAAATCAGAACAATGCAGATTTTGCCTTTTCCAGTGCCAGGACCGTTTCTTTGCATTCCATGCTGGTTTTATTGTTTCTATTTTTGTTTCTGGATTATACTGCAGTCTTTTAACATCAGCACATGAAACATCTGCCTGGTTTTTGTCCCTGAACAATCCTGCATGAACTCAGAACAGGATTTCACTCAGGAGCAGTGACAGAGACACATCCCTGTCTGTCCTCATGGTTTGTGGGCACAAGTCCCCTGACATGGGCTTATTCCTAAATGAATTAATCAGCAGTGCAAGGAATGGAAAAATTCAAAAAGCAATTTAAATGAAGTTTTCTAAGAACTCTGCTGGGAGTTTTTGGCTTCTTCCTCTTAATCTGGATGATGATAGCAGGAATTATCTTTAAATATGTTCCAGCAAAGTAATGATAGATGCAGCTTCAGTCAGGTGGTTCCTTGTGAGATATCTGTAAGGAAAACAGATTATTTTATCATATTCATCTGTAAGGTAAACAGATTATTTTATCTTATTTAGCTGTAAGGAAAATAGATTATTTTATCTTATTTTAAGGAAAACAGATTATAACAGTTATCATTTCCTATAACTACAGGCATCTCTTTTAAAAATGCCACACAGTTGTTCTGATTCATCCTGAACTCCTCATTACATAGCTGTACTTCATATATTTCTTTTTGTCTGTTAAACATTTGTTGAACTCCACTTGCTGATTTATTTTGCTGAATATCACAACACTCTTTTCTAAATTAAATAGCACAGTACAATATTAAGCTGTTAATTCTTTGAACTCAATATATTTATATGTTATGATTTTAAAAACTTAGAAACACCCTCAAAATGATACTTTTGAAATGAGTTCTGATTCCAGCAGGGCCATTGCCTTGGTAACTGGATAATCTATAAATCACAATTCCTGTTCCCATTGATTTCTGGGGATATATTCATAGCAATAGGGTCAGCAGGTTGTCAGCTTTTTAGGTTTTAACATCAAAGGTTTCATTTTGCTTTTTTAACCAAATTAATGCTCTTTTCTTAATCCCTGCTTTGAACCTGCAGGTCCTGATAGAAAAGGAGTGGATTGCAATGGGCCACAAGTTCTCACACAGGTGAGAGGGGCACATTCCTCTGGGTGGGGAGTGAAACCAAAACTGTATGCAGGTTTAGGGGATGCCTTGAAAAATCGAAATTAAAAGGAGAAAACATTGGGAAAACATTGGCATTGGTGACACAGAGCCAGGGTCTGCTAAGGCTAAGTCATAATAACTGCTAAGTTATTTCATCCCTGTGCTTTTATTCTTTACAAAATCATGTTTGAATTCTGGATGTTTTCCTACCTGCAAATTCTATTATCTGAGGAGTGCTAATCATGGGATCACAGAACCATGAAGGCTGGAAAAGACTTCCAGGATCATCAAGTTCAGCCAGCACCCAGCAGCAGCACTAACCCATGTCCCCAAATGCCACATCCACACATCTGTTGAGCACTTCTAGGGATGGTGACCCCACTCTGTCCCATCCATAGTGCTCCAGCCAGACCTGGTAATTCTGGTAAATCCCTGGGAGAGCATCTCAGCCACTTTCCCAAGATCAAAGCATAAACCTGACCTGGAAGAAAACTGATGGCAAGGGGACATTTTGTGGTGGGTGACAGAGGATTTATTCTGCTTTTTGCACCTCTGTAGGTGTGGTCACCTGGATGGGGACCCCAAGGAGGTGTCCCCTGTGTTCACACAGTTTGTGGAGTGTGTGTGGCAGCTGATGCAGCAGTTCCCCTGCTCCTTCGAGTTCAGCGAGCGCTTCCTGCTGGAGATCCATGACCACGTCTACTCCTGCCAGTTTGGCAACTTCCTGGGCACCTGCCACAGGGAGAGGGAGGAGCTCAGGTGAGCTGGGGGATTGGAGCCAGCAGGCCACACATCCCCTGGCATGGCTGCAAAAGGGTGTGTTTTATGCAATTGGAGATGTGGAATATAACCATTCATCAAGGGGATGCTACCCTTAACCAAACGGGAGGAAAGAATATGAATTATATCCCTAAAAATGTGGTTTGGTTTGGAGCACAACAGTAACTTGCAGATATCCCTTCTGGACAGGAGAGTGTCCATTTTAATATCCAGTGCTTATGAAATCTATCAGATCCAACATAAAAACAATTCTTAGCTCCCTTAATCTAATTCTGCTCCCAACAGCTGCAGTTATTAATCCACTTGCTGCTTTTTTTAGTGATCAGATGTTCTTTGTACTTGCCAGAATCTTTGAGAAGACCCATTCCCTGTGGCCTTTCCTCTTGCAGAGGAAGCAGGAGTTGAGAAATCCTTTGTACAGAGGATTTACAGCTTACAAAGAGCTTCAACCAAACACTCTACCTTTCAGTTTCCAGTAAGTGGCTCAGCTAAGAAGGGGAAGGAGGGGGACATTTCTTTCATTAATAACTCATGTTAAATCAAATAAATTTGCACTGATTAGCTTGGTTTGTTTTACCTTTCTCCTCCATTCCTCAGGCATAAGCTAAGAGGAGCAGTGCAAAGGTAAAATAAATCCAGATGCTGTAATTTAAAATAATATTTGTAATTTGGTGTTGAGAAAAGAGGGTGGGGAAAGGCAAGGAAAAGCAGAACTTCAGACAGAACCACATGCACCCCCTGACTGCTTGCTCTGTCACACTGAAGTGTTTGAAACAGTTCCTCTTTTCCTCCTTTTTAATGTATATTAAGGAAGTCTTTCAAGCAAGAATTTTGGTGCCCAGTTCAGGATTGTTCCCAGCTTTGTTTCTGCTTCACTCCTGGGCCCTGCTGAGAGAGAGGGAGATGAAAATGGGATTTTAAGTGCTGTGTGTGCAAATGAAAGTTGGGAGGTTGGGCTGATGCTTTGTGATGGCTGCCCTAGAACAGAGGCTGGACAGAGATACAGAATAAAGCAGGGATTTATTAAAAGGCCTCAGTGGATGCACCTTGGGCAGCACAAGAGCCCAGCCAAGGTGAACCAAAATGGTCACAAAAATCCTTGACCGGTCACGAGGTCTCTCACTTGGATCAGTTCTGGAGTTCATTGTCCAATTCCAGCCCCAGCCCATGCAGTCCCATCCTTGTTTTTCTCTCTCAGCCCACGGTGTTTGTGCTCTTGGGCTGAGATTTGGATCATTTGTCTTTGGTCCCCAGCTGGAGCAGGAATTGTTTTGTCTCCCTGCTCTGTGCATAGAGCTCAGCATCCCCTCATATGAAGCCCAGACCCAAACACTAAAGCAGCACAGAATCTGAAAAATAGAAAAATGACTGAGGCATCAGGGCAAACTAAGGAGTGGAAGATAAGCTGCCCAAGCTTCCAATAAATCTGCTATTTTCATCCTATTCTAATATTTAGTTCCAGATTTTTTAACTTGAAGAAAAGTTGCCCATTGCTGCGGAATTCAATAATCCAACGCTGTGGCAGGTTTTCAAATTAATTCCTAATCTCAATTTATTACAAATATTAACCAGCATCTGTTTGTTGGCAGTCATGTCCAGCTGAGCCCCTAACTGCTGTTTGTGGCTGTTTTTGAGGTTCTGGTGTGGGATGTACAACCGCTTTGACAAGGGCATGCACCCCAAGCAGAGCGTGCTGGAGCAGCTGCTGAGCTGCCTGAGCCACAGCGTCAGCCTGGAGGACAGCGCAGCCCAGCTGGAAAACGTGAGCCACAGGGGTGGGGCTGGGAACTGACAGCAATAGTGGCCTTCTCAGAGAAATCTTGTGATAGAAACAGAGAAATATTGGCCATTAAATACAGAAATTGTACGTGTGTAATGTAAATATATTGTGTATATTATATATAAATATATATAGAATAGAAATATGTAATGAAAATATAGTAAATAAATATACTGTATGAAATTATACATATATGTAATAGAAATATATAAATATTGGCCATTAAATATAGAAATTGTACATGTATAATGTAAATATATTGTGTATATTATATAAAAATATATATATAATAGAAATATATAATGAAAATATAGTAAATAAATATACTGTATTAAATTATACATATATTTAATACAAATAGATAAATACTGGCCATTAAATATATAAATTGTACATGTATTACATATAAATATATGTTATATAAAAATAGAACTAAATATATTATCAATAAATTGTATAAAATCATATTATATAAATATATAAATACTGGCCATTAAATATACAAAATACACATGTATTACATATAAATATGTGTTATATAAAAATAGAATTAAATATATTAACAATAAATTGTATAAAATCATATTATATAAATATATAAATACTGGCCATTAAATATACAAAATACACATGTATTATATATAAATAGATGTTATATATAAAAATAGGATTAAATATATTATCAATAAATTGTATAAAATCATATTATATAAATATATAAATACTGGCCATTAAATATACAAAATACACATGTATTATATATAAATACATGTTATGTAAAAACATAATTAAATATATTATCAATAAATTGTATAAAATCATATTATATAAATATTGGCCATTAAATATATAAACTGTACATGTATTATATATAAATACATGTTATGTAAAAACATAATTAAATATATTATCAATAAATTGTATAAAATCATATTATATAAATATAGAAATTGTACATGTATTGTATAGAAATACATGTAATATAAAAATAGAATTAAATATAAATAAATTGTATAAAATAATATTATATAAATATTCGCCATTAAATATATATATTGTACATGTATTATATATAAATACATGTTATATAAAAATAGAATTAAATATATTATAAATAAATTTTATAAAATCGTATTATATAAATACATAAATATTGGCCATTAAATATATAAAATGTACATGTATTATATATAAATATATGTTATGTAAAAACATAATTAAATATATTATAAATAAATTGTATAAAATCATATTATATAAATATATAAATATTGGCCATTAAATATATAAATTGTACATGTAATATATATAAATACATGTTATATAAAAATAGAATTAAATATATTATCAATAAATTGTATAAAATCATATTATATAAATACTGGCCATTAAATATACAAAATACACATGTATTATATATAAATATATGTTATATATAAAAATAGGATTAAATATATTATCAATAAATTGTATAAAATCATATTATATAAATATATAAATACTGGCCATTAAATATACAAAATACACATGTATTATATATAAATACATGTTATGTAAAAACATAATTAAATATATTATCAATAAATTGTATAAAATCATATTATATAAATATTGGCCATTAAATATATAAATTGTACATGTATTATATATAAATACATGTTATGTAAAAACATTATTAAATATATTATAAATAAATTGTATAAAATCATATTATATAAATATTGGCCATTAAATATATAAACTGTACACGTATTATATATAAATACATGTTATGTAAAAACATAATTAAATATATTATCAATAAATTGTATAAAATCATATTATATAAATATTGGCCATTAAATATATAAATTGTACACGTATTATATATAAATACATGTTATGTAAAAACATTATTAAATATATTATCAATAAATTGTATAAAATCATATTATATAAATATAGAAATTGTACATGTATTGTATAGAAATACATGTAATATAAAAATAGAATTAAATATAAATAAATTGTATAAAATAATATTATATAAATATTGGCCATTAAATATATATATTGTACATGTATTGTATAGAAATACATGTAATATATAAATAGAATTAAATATATTATAAATAAATTGTATAAAATCATATTATATAAATATATAAATACTGGCCATTAAATATACAAAATACACATGTATTATATATAAATATGTTATGTAAAAACATAATTAAATATATTATAAATAAATTGTATAAAATCATATTATATAAATATTGGCCATTAAATATATAAATTGTACGTGTAATATATATAAATATATGTTATATAAAAATAGAATTAAATATATTATCAATAAATTGTATAAAATCGTACTGTATAAGTATATAAATATTGGCCATTAAATATAGAAATTGTACATGTATTATATATAAATATATGTTATATAAAAATAGAATTAAATATATTATAAATAAATTGTATAAAATCGTATTATATAAATATATAAATATTGGCCATTAAATATATAAATTGTACACGTAATATATATAAATACATGTTATATAAAAATAGAACTAAATATATTATCAATAAATTTTATAAAATCATATTATATAAATATTGGCCATTAAATATAGAAATTGTACACGTAATATATATAAATACATGTTATATAAAAATAGAACTAAATATATTATCAATAAATTGTATAAAATCATATTATATAAATATATAAATATTGGCCATTAAATATATAAATTGTACATGTATTTTATACAAATATATATTATATAAAAATATAATTAAATGTATTATGTATTATAAATATATTTTATAAAATAATATTACAAATTTGTAAATATTGGCCATTAAATATACAAAATACACATGTATTATATAAATATATTGTATAAAAGAATATATATTATATAAATATATAAATGTTGGCCATTAAATTTTACATTCTATATATGCTAGAAATATATTATATAAATATATTGTATAAAGATATATAAAATAATAATATAAATATATAAATATTGGCCATTAAATATACTATATATTATAAGCATGTATATTATAAATATATATATTATAAAATTATACATATATAATATAAATATTTAAATATTGGCATTTATTTCCCCTCTTCTCATCATATAAAATCAAATCAGATAAATATACTGACAATTCATGCCAATTCATTAAACAGGTCTTAAAATAATGTAAGCAAAACTACCTCTTTATAGCTCCCCTAGGAAAAAGAATCCTGTTGAAATTTTAGTTTAAAAATGTGAGTGGAGTTGTTTTGTTGGGGATTTTTTTGCCATCCACTGTTGTAGGGCCAGGATCCAAGTCAGCCCTTCATTTCAGAGTAAATGCCATCCTTACTTTGCTCCCAGCATGGATACTCTGTGCCTTGGATATCATTTAGAGCTCCTGACAATGACTGATGTTTGTGCTATTTCGAGGTGCTGGAGCTTTGTTCTGTCCCTCTTCTCCAGGCCCTGCCAGAATCCTTGGGCAGTGTAAATGGCACATGAATCAAACCACATGAACCAAGCAGCTGGGTGAAAATGAGGGTTCACTGACAGACCTCTTTGGGATAAAATCCCCAAAGTATCCCCAGAGAAATGAAAACACAGTTTTTAAAATCTACCAGTGAGAAGAACATCAGTGCCCTTTGCTGGGGTAATGTGAATGCTGAAAACTTTATTCAGCTTTATTAGTTAAACATTGATGTTTGTGTCAGACATGGCAGATCTGTGTCCAGGTATTTCTGATGTTTGTGTCAGGCATTTGAGGATTTGTGTCCAGCTACTTCAGTGCTGGATTTCAGAGCTGGAAAAGAGGCACTGCCACAGGGCTGTTGTGTTGACACCTGGTTTTTGTCCCTCTCTGGCATCTAGGTATTAATTATTTGGTTTTGTGCCTTTTCATTTGTGCAGAAACTCCCTATCCTGGACGGCCCCTTGCCCAGCAAAGGCTGCACCTCACCCAAGGCAGGAGCTGCTGCTGCCAAAGCCCCAACTCCTCCTCAGGACTGTGCAGAGGGAGCAGCCCCTGTGCTGAGCAATGGCCCCTCCCTGGGGCAGCAGAAGCACAAGGAGAGCCCAGCCCAGCCCCAGGATCTCGGAGCCTCCAGGGAGGATGGGCAGGCTCAGCACCAGGGATGAGCTCTGGGAGCTGCTGGGAGAAGCTCTGGGGAGCTGCTGCAGCCCCCATTTGCAGCTGAGTGTGAGTAGGGGTGTGCAGGGCTGGGGAGCAGCTGCTGGGGGACACCTCCTGCAGCTCAGGTGATGCAGAGCTGCCAGGAGCCTGCCTGGCATTCCTGGGAACTTGGCTTTCAGTGGCAACACGTGCATTTCTGAGGGTTAGGGCTGCCTGCCAGCTCTGCTGTTTGAGGCTGGAAGAAATCTTGCCAATTCCATGAGGAGCTGGGCAGTAACTGCAGGAGGAAGGATGCAAATCCCTCTGTTCTCAGTGGTGGTCCAAGGTCATCTTAAAACAAGAAAAAATTTCAGTCTGTCTTCAAATGATAAAAACCCCCCAACCTTTCTCTTAGCTGTGAATGAATCTCTGCATGGACCCTTGCCTTGTAGCAGAACTGATTCATGTTTTGTTTCCTATGCATATTTGTTACACAAAACCAAACCCCCTGTGCCTTCTCTGAGACTGTGTCCATGTCCAGCCAGGCCACTGCAGGTTTTGTGCTGGAGTTTGCAGTGTGCTCCTGGTCCTGTCTGTAGGCAGTGTTTGTGAGAGGATTTCTTCTGCTGCAGCTTCTCCAGGGTTTTTGTTGTTCCTCTGAGTTCAGGAGCTTTTTCCAAGCTGACCTCTTGAAGAGCCAGCTTTGGGAGTGCAGAGCCAGCCCATAACACATGGGTTTGTGATAAGAGGGAGGATTGGAAATGAGGAAAGGCAGCAGAACATTTATGTGGAATTTTTCTCTCTTATTTTATGATCTTGTTTAAACTGAAGCAAGAGAGTAACTCTGTTCCAAGGTGGAATCATTGATGAGACAGCAGTTACAGCTGGGGCTGTGTTCTGGTATTGAAATGGGGCCTGAAATGATAAAATCACTTGCTGAGTCATTCTAGGGAATGTTCAGATTCCAGGAACTTTAGGGATGTTTTGTCTGTCTCATGAACAGTATCTCATGGCAGTGAACTTGGGAAGAAACAGAAGAAGCAAGGATTTCTCTCCCAGGGATTGGGTGTCACAAATGAGTGCTTGAAGGTCACCCAAAGAATCCTTGGGAGAGGCATCAGCAAAAGCAGGTTTGATATAAAAAAGTGTGACCAAATTCATTTGCAAGGTTGACTTTGTTACTTATTAAATGGTTAAAGCACACAGAGAAAAACTAAAATAGAAAATCAGGCAATCTAAAACTACAATCAACCAGCGTGGAGGCTGGGATGGACAAGGGTCAGGAGGAAATGGAATGAAATGAAATGAGGGAGATTCTCCTGTTGAGTCACAGGGTTCAGAGTGGAGCATCCTCCCAGACTGAGCCCTGGAATTATCAACAGTTCAGGCCTAAAGGTTTACCTGGAATCAGAGAATCAGTGGCAGCACTTGAACTCAAGAGCAGAGAATCAGCAGGTAAGGAGCTGAACAAGGGGTTTATGTAAGATTCCCTGTAAGCACAACAGGAGCTCCTTAGAGGCTGAACTCACAAATCCAAAGTACTCCATCCTCCAGGAGAGCAGCATTCCCAGTGCTTTGGCTCTGGCACAGCCCCAAGGACCAGGTCCAGGTGTATCCCTGGGGAAAATTCCCCTGCAGTTCCCTGTTTATAGAGAGTTGCTTTTATCAGAGTCGCTTTCCAGCCTGGCTGCAATTTGGGTCAATGTCTTCCTCTGAAAGGTCAATAACAAAAATGTTCCACTTGCCTTGTTATTCAGGCTAGAAAAATCAGATTCCAGGGCTGGTGGCTAAACCCAGGGGTTTGTAGCTCAGCCCTGGGAGCAGCCAGTGTTCCTGATAAGCTCAGGGTGCTGCTTATCAAGGTCAAGGCCTGAGGACATTTCTGAGATCATGGTGAGGCCTTGGGAGCTTGGAGGATTCCCCTCCCCAGGAAAGCTGTGCCACTGTCCTTGTTCTGTGCTGGATTGCACAGAGTCCCCCTGTGCAGCTTTGTTCAGGATGCTGCTCTGCCCTCTTCTCAAGCTGTTGTTCCAATTGGGTGCTGCCATCAAGTTTTTAAATCAGACTTTCTCTTTCATAAAAAGTTTGGAAGCCAACTGAAAATATTTGAGCCTTCCCACTCTCCAGTGAAAGCAGAAACATTCCATTGTAACAGCAGAAAGTGCAATAAAGTGCAATAACTCTGCTCATGTGCTTTTAACCCTTGGTGAAATCACTGGGTAAATCCAGTGTCCAAAACCCAACCCAAAGCTCCCTGAGTGGCTGTTCTGGGTAAGAAAATACCTATTTTATAAAGCACATGAAAGATCCAGGGAAAAAGAGAGCACAGAGTTTCTCCACTGCCTGGAATGGCAAAGAGGAAGATTTTTAGTATTGAGGGTTTTCAGACTTGAATAAATTTGTTAAAGAAGGAGTGGGTGCTAGCAGAGTGATTGATTAAAAATGGAACACTGGAAATACTGACCCAGGTGTGACTGATGGATCAGCCCTGTCTTTTCTTTCCAGGGGCAATGGGCAAGATCCATCCCCAAATCTGAGAGAAAATGGGGCATGAAGCCAAGACAGGCACTTTTTAGGAGCAGTTATTCTATGGATCATCAGTTCTTTGAATATCTTTAATAAATTCTCTAATTTTCATTAGAGATCTAAAACTGGAGAGGGTTTTGATTGACTACTGAAGGACTTAAAGGTGTCATTGGTTAATTATTGTACAAATCCAGCTTGCAGAAGGCTCCTGGAAATGTTTGTATGGTGCTTTGCCTTTGGAATTGCCATTGGAGGAGTTTAATAATCTTTCCTTGTTCATAAAAAGGTTGTCTCCACAAAACTCCAATGTTACTACAAGTGTGTACAACCACCACCAGGTTACTCAGTGTTGTAAGCTTGGAGTAATCTTGCTGCTTTTAACTCCAGTGGCAAAACACAGCCAAACCCAAAAATTAATGTCTTCTAAACCTCTTGGATTTCATGTGTGCAGGCTCAGGCAGAGGCTGCAGTGTATCAAAAGCCTTTCATGCTGATGCTGGAATTCAGGGGCTGGAAAAGATTCCAGGGTTTCCTCTTTTTCCACGAGCCCGTGGTTTGAAAACCAATGAAGGAGAAGCTTTTTGGTTTTGGTGGCAGCTCTGGGCTGTTTGAAGAGCAGAAATGAGGAGCAGCTCAGAGCTCTGCAGTGTCCTGAGCTCAGCTGGGATCTGCTGCCCAGGAAATCTGTGTTCCCTACCCTGGAGCATCCTCTGCTGCCCAGGAAAGGAGTGTTCCCTACCCTGGAGCATCCTCTGCTCCCTGGAAATCTGTGTTTGCTGCCCCTGGAGCATCCTCTGCTCCCTGGAAGTGTGGAAGGAATGGAGGAGCTGTTACTGCAATTGGGAATCTGCTGCTGCTGCTGCTGCTGCTGCTGCTGGGGAAAGTTCCTGCACCTGATTGATTCCTAGGGAGCAGCTGTGCTTTGTGAGCTCAGAAATCCTGCTTTTATTTGGAGCAGTGCAGTTCTTTCCATTTGGATTCCTGTCACTGGGAGAACTGGGAGGGAGGAGAGATCTGATTTGCTGCAGATGGGCTCTGCTTGTGGAAAACTCTCCCTGTGCTGGAGCTGCTCCTGCCTCTCCAGGACATTCCATGGCTTCTCCAGGACATTCCATGGCTTCTCCAGGACATTCCATGGTTTCTCCAGGACATTCCATGCCTTCCTGCCTTTTCCCAGTGTCTCCTGTGCTACAACCAGGTGTAACCTCATAGTGGCCTGTCATACTCTGTGTTAAAACTCCTACTCTGAAGCACAAGAGGGACTCGTGGAGCTTCATTTGAAATGTCTTAAATGTGAACTTTGTTCTGTGGATTCCTAAATTAGGGGTTTCTTTTGCTGTTGTCACCTGTGGGAGAGAAAATCCAATTGGTGCTGTTTGCTCTGCAGGGAAAAAGTGGGAATAATTGGGTTGTCCATAGTTTTAGTTCTCCATGGCCTCTTTAGGGGTGAGGAAAAGCAGTTTGTACAAGCTTTTAGGTCTGCCTTGGTCTGTTCTTGTGCTTAGTGATTGCCTTTCCAAGTTAATTCCTTGGAGTAAAAATCCACCTGCTCTGATCCAGAGCCATCCTGGCTGGGCTTGGAGGGAGCTGGGGACCTTCAGGAAGCTTCCCCAGCCCTGCAGGGTGGGATTTGGCAGGAGCTGAAGGTGCCCAGAGCCCCACAGGATCTCCAGGTGGGAATGCTGGTGTGGAGCAGCCCTGGGGTGTTGTTTCCATCACCTCTGGGAGCAGAGAGCCCTCAGAGGTGCTCCCAAAGCTGAGGCAGCCCCAGGAAAAGCCTTGGAAGGGGAAGAACTCCTGCTGAGGCTCCTTCATCCTTGGCAGGATGCAGTGCTGGGTACCCAGGAGTGACCAGGAGCATTCCAAAGGGCTTTTCCTCTCCTCCCACCTCTCTGCTCTGTGCTGGGGTTGTTTTTATAGGGACCTCTCCCAGCTATTCCTGGTTTCCATCCTTCCCTCATGCACATCCAGCCATTCCCTGGGGGAAGAGCCTGCTCTGCATGTCCTATTTATGTTTAATTATCACCCAGCACTTGATTAATTAGCTGAGGAAGCAGGGGATGGTAAAGCCTGTGCTTGGGACCAGGCAGCCAGGTGGGCCATCATTAGGGCAGGTTTGCTAATGACATTAATGAATGTGACCCCCTGGGAGCTGCAGGAGCAGGGCAGGACCAAGGGGTTGTTTTTATATCATTTCTGTATTTCCATCTCTTTAATGGAGCAGAAACCACTGGAGTAACTCAGCACTGGATCCCATCCTCTGGCTGGATTTTCCTTGGCATCCCCAACCTGATCCTTGTAGGAATGTCCCTAAAACTGTGTCTAGTGCTGGCTGGGAATGTCCCTGTGGCTGTTTGTGTCTGTGTCACTGCTGGGGGACATCTGTGGGGGACGAGCCCCAGTTTGTGCCCTGAGAGCTCTGTGGGGCACTTCAGTTCCTGCACTGCTTGAAGCTGATCTTGTCTAGAGGAGAATTGTGTCTGTTTGTCCCATGGAGTCT